ATCTCCATCATTTAATCAGTCATCACTCATTTTAAATGGGAAACATAAAAAGCATCTCAGCAGATCAGCGTCATGATCCTTTCGAATATATGATAATATCATTCCTGTTGTCTTACTATATTAAATTAACATTTGTTCCATGCTAATCCGAGTACTTTATATTGTTACATATAGTCCTTCTAGCCGTAGATTAATTGACCAATAATAACAATAAATTTGTTGTAGTATGAGAAACTTTGTCTATGGATCCGAGCTACCTCGAAATAATACACTTTTTCGCGCTTGGCTAAGAACAAACCAGATTGGGCTCGCTAGATTTTCCGCCAAGAGCTGGCCTAATCCCTGTTAGGTACAACAAACGTGAAATTCCCATGAGGTTATTTGAGCTATAAAACTTTCTGCATTTGTGTTTTTATTCATTTGCCTGAGGAATACGAAGCTGCTTTAGGCGACTTCGGAATTAATCTCTTGAAAAGACAACCGAAAAACAAAAGGGTTAATATGATTAAGGCAGAGGTTAAGTTTCATATAATTAGAGTAGAAGTAGGTAAAGGTTTTTCATGCTTTTTCGGTTTTACATCAGCCTATGGGCCTCTCCACATGCTGTATTCTATAAGGCAGATTTCGGATAGTAAATTCATACTAGATTACTAAGAACTTTGGGATATTTTCTTGTCGTTAGTAGCTTGAGATTAGAGGCATTATTATTCGATAAATAATTCATTTATGCTTTTGTTGAATAAGCTTTATCTAATAAATCTTGGAAGCTTAAGGCTAGATTCTAATGATTCACAGCAGAGATTCACCAAAGTCTATTTAATACCTTCATATAATTAAGGGGATTTATATTATATACATAGGCTAGGAGATTGGATTTATCATCGTGACTACATAATTAAAATAAATATGAAGTTACGAACAGTTTATTCCCATGTCAGACTAATTTCTAGCAATAAGACATATTTTCAACTTTCAATGATATCTTACGTTTTCTCCACCTTAATCTGTTCGTTTATGATCTTCAAGCACTTTTCTGTGACTTAAGGAAAGGAAGTAGGTTCGAGAAATGACTCTTTCCTGTTTGTTTTCCTCCTCAATGTTTATGAAAGTTAGTAGTTTATTTAGCACAGTACGAAATATCAGGCATTAGGAAATTTTGAATCCCAACACCGTAAGGCTATTTAAGATCTAAATATTCTAAAATTCACGACAGTACTAGATCCTGATCAAAATTGCTAATATTTTTTTCCCTTTTAAATGCTAAGTGTCTATTCTAGGCGGATCCACTCACTCAATTCGTTGTAATTGAGGAGAACATCTGAAATTTTTAGAAATTTATACTTTTTTCTGTGCTCCAGAATGAAAGAGTTATAAGAAACTTAGAGTTAGATCATTCTTTCAAGGGACTCTATACTGAATGGAACTCTATTTACTATGGAGTTAGAAAATGCCTACAAGTTACTATTTCTGAGTGCCCTTGTAGGAAAGGTAGGAAGTAAGTTGGGTAAAGGTATGTTTTTATGAAACCCACGAGTATGAAGTTCTCTTTAATTTTGTTTTTATTATTCGCATAAGATTAACTTAAGGGTTATGAAGTCAATGACAATAGGAAGTCTGACCCTGGCAAGGGCAAAGCAATGGGAGTAGGAAATAAGAAGATTGAGGAGCATTCTAACCCGAAATTATTATCAAACAGAATCAATATGCAAGTAATTATCAATAATCATAAATAGTATGTCTGCAAGTGGATATTTAGGATGGGACGCACAGATACATCACTACTCTGTTCTTGATTTCGTCATCCTATTAAAAGGTAGGCGAACTAGTAAAAAAAGATAACATCGGAAAAATGTAAAAATAAATAGTAGAACTTAACTCAGTTTTAGAATTGGTCTGACCTCGTTTTCGCGACTTGATCATGTTGTCAGGGCAAGCGATTGGGATGCACCTTGTCCGCAGGCCTCTGCTACAGTAGCTAAGGTAATTCATCGCTTTGTACCGTGGACTTAGTGTAGCTACTAAAAGAAAGGAATTCTGATAAGGTGCATCCAACTAGGTCGCCCTGAGAACACGACCAAGTTTCAAAAACGAATTCATACCAATTATATACATCGAAAAGAGACTCCGACCAAATTTGTCTTCATATCTTCCTCGGTTTTAGGCCAGCTTGACAGATTAGGGCATTAAAAGGAATTGTACTCATTCTAAATGGGGCGAAAGAATGTAGGAAATTTTACATAAACTAGTTGTGCATATAGAATTTTTAGGGGAGCGAGGAATAGATGAAGCCGGAAATACTATTAGGAAAAAGGCGAAGTTTTCAATAGCTTTGATGCTAGCTAGGGCTCACACTTCACGTTGGCTTGAACACACAAATGAAATTTCCATTGCTTAAATTTGCAGCAAATTTGCAGGAAAAACACTGATTTAGTTAGGCTAATAAACAGTTGTTATCAAATTTACTCTCACTTAGTACATTAGTTTTATCCATCTGCGAGTAGGTGGGGTAAACATAAAGTAGCCAATCCAAACAACAAATGCCTAACTAAGATAACAAAATTAGGCATAATAAATAATAATGCTGGCAACAACTCACCTCATTAATGGTTTAGTTTAGTCGGCGTGCTTTAACCTAAAATATTTCTACATGGCAAGCAAAAGTTTAGAGCATATTCATCGGGGTTTCCGGGCAATGAGCCAAGAAATTCTTCGAAAACTCTTGCAAGCTCTAAGTTAAAGTAATCTTATTCGGTTTTGGGTGAGGCCATTTAATTAAGCCCCTCCAACCAACTTTTTACTCATATTTAAGTACCATAAAACTTTAGGAAAATCAACATTTCTCTCTTAGTAGAACTTGAAAATTATCTTCTGTCTATTTGAGGGCTTATCGTTAAGATGCCAGACTTTTCACAAGTTATATTTGATTGCTGAACCAAGAACCCACATCCTCAAGTTTAATAGACGGTTTACTCTATTGTTAAGCTGCGACAATCTTTCTTCGGAATATACCAAAATCTCGTCAACACTACAAATGCACGACTACAGATTTGTTTTATATCTTCATCCAATAGCATCTCTATGGTCATCGTTGTAATGACATCTTTGCTAGTATGGAGCAGCTTATATATAAGAGCCACAAAAAGAAGATATCATTATCAGAAACTCAGATATTGAGATATAGCTATATCTACCAAGGTGAGAGTAGGGAGAGTTATCTTAGAGGCACTCCGGGACTCCAAAAATTCATAGTATTTCTAAAATTGTCAATTGGATAATCTTATATCTTTTATAGTGATAAAATACATTATTTTTTTTCAATGTTAGTATATCTCCACATTATTATATGTTCTTGTATTCAAAATTTGGTTACTATAGATAGTTGAAAGTGACTTATCAACTGATTACTAGATTTCTATACAGTGGAACACAATAAAATCTTAAGGCCTACACATGTCATTGTCGGAAACTTTAACTACTGGCCCTTAAATCACTTTAAGTGAGCTAAGTGAATCAACTTGCTAGGCAAGAATTAATAATAAGCTCGACAATTACTTACATCATCATTCACACTTTAGATATGATTCTAAGAGGCATGGGTCGCCTTGAAAGTCAAATATACTCAGTAGCATTTAGAATGAATGCCGAAGAATACCTGTTTAACTTCCATGATCTGGTTTTCAATTGCTTTGAAAGTGCTGATGAGTCCTGGGCAGGTAAAAACTGCGGTCCGTTTAAGATGGGAAATACTTTAAAGCGGAAATATTGCGTCAAAACCCGAAAGCATCATGAACCATTACCTTATTGCAAAATTGAACTTTAATAATCTCACGGCAACTGAGATGACTCAAATTCTATTATAGATATAATGCAATATTTCTGAAATACAAATAAACAAGCGGATGGAATTATAGCATTTTCTTTTAAGTGTATGTTGAAATAGAGCAGATATAAAGGTAAATGAAGACCAGGCATATTTCCATAACGCATACTCTAATCGAATTGTCGATATGCCAAGGTTGTATTCGCTACATTACTTATCTTTTGTCTCTTTGACGCGTTTGTAATATGGTGCTTCGAATGGCGAGACTCACTGACGATGCTGGCGAAACGTCTGGGAATGTACCACATCCACGGTCCTACTCTCGAAATGTTGACGCATACAATGGACTCTGGACTAGGTGCGCTCCTCTAAGTCTTCCTAACAATAGGACCGAGTTGCGAAAACAAGTTCAAACAACTTCTATATAACGAAATGAGTCTGCGACCACACAACAGGTCACACCATCTTGGTCTTCATACCTACGATTAGCTATATTTTGTATGAAAGTGGTTTCTTTAAACTACCATTCCATCATGGATAGGAATAACTTTATAGAAGTAAGACCAAATCTAATTCACTGATATCGTAAATTCAACTCATATCATTGGAAAAATATCAACTATTAATCTTGCATCATCTTATAGTGCAAAGTGTGACTAGAATTCAAATGCAATAACGTGCCAAAGCTTACTTTTTCTAGTATCTTATTAAAAAAAGGAAAATAAAGAAAGTGGTTTCACTCGTGGGTTGTGGCTAACCGACCAAACTAGAACATAGTTTATGGTCGGGAACATATATTAATCTATTTTAACTCTATTTAGGTCTTTTTTCACCCAACATGATTGGCTGCAACGAGGCTAGGTGGGAACGACACTTAATCGAGGCAAACTGCATTCCCATTGGTTTTCCAAGCTTAGCTTGCACGAATCAGTCTGGCTTACTACCTTTCGGATATTTCCTAATTGTCTTGTGCCAAACACGTTTTTTAAATATTACTTCATACATGAATCCCTCCGCCTGAGGTGTAGGCCTATGTTATCGCCAGTCTATACATTCTTGTGTAGATGGATTTTTATTACAGTTTCTTTCTAGCATCCATTGGCATTGTCTATTTTTATTCCAATCCTCTGTGAAAAAAAGCTCAATGTGGCTCTGGCCAGCTCTTTGCCTCGCCTTGCTGATGTCCTTCTCTCCTCAACTCAGCCCGTTGGTAACCTCCTACCAAAGCTATTCTCTTCCGAATGATGCTCAGCATGGGAACCAAACAACCATGCCGACACTGGAGAAAGCCGTTTCAAGCACAAATCTCGACTTGTTTGGTGCATTCTTTCAAGACGTGTCCAAGCGAAGCCGGCATCAGTGTGACGACTATCTGTCCAGTGATTCACGCTTTCATTTACGCCGAGATCTAAGAAACCTAGCACTCAGTTGTTATTCGGAGCACTCACCCAATCTCGCAGATATGCTCGACCAGACAGCCCCATCTCCACCGCCATTGCTTGGATTAGACAACCAGACAAAAGTGGATGCTGTCTCGCCGATGATGCGATTGTTCCAACTGACCACCACCGTCCTATACGTGCTCAATATTCTCAATATCATCACCAACCTGTTTGCTTATGCCGTCTTTCGTAGGCAGATACAGACCTCTGCCAGTCAGACTAGTGGTGGTGTGATGGTTTCTCAGCATGTTCTCTTTCGATTGCTGCAAGCTCTTTCACTGGCCGAGGTTTTCTTTCAGTTTTGCTTCCTAGTTTCAACCTATCTCGAAGAGCAGCCGTACAAAGGGAATTTAGCATTCTACTCCCGTACTCCGAGGACACTATCTCTCCACCTACTTCACAACTCTTCTGCTTCGTCTTCATACAATGACACTGAGTTTCCTTTTGCCAAAGTTTATTGTGTTCTATTTCTTCAAATCTTTATACCATTATTTGCTGCCTCGCATATCTACCGCAATTGGTTAGTAGTGCTCATCAGCATCTACCGGTTCGAGGCTGTCATGTGGCCTGTACTGACACGAAAGCGTTTCGTTTCGCCGAACCGTGTAACCAGCTTCTGTGTCGGCATCGCCGCTTGTGCCATCCTTGCCAGTCTTCCACGCATGGTGGAGCGCAATTGTCTAATTTGCCCAATCAGAATTCCCTGCATTTTTCCAGATAACAATTCACTCACGTTGCCTCCGAAGAGGTCTTTATCCGGTTTTCCCGTTCTCAAAACAATCGGCCAGATTGACAAAACGTCGCAGGCCGGCTTGCCCCAAATGGAAGTACACGGCAATGTGATCATTGGATTCGGCAAGCGTGGTTTGGGCTGGCGTTCCTACAATTACGCTTACGTAATCACCACTCTCTTCGTTCTCCAGACTGGAGGACCAATCCTTCTGGTGTGCTATCTTGGGGTGAGTATCATCATCGGCATTAGTAGGCACGCTAGGAAGCGCAACCAATTATTCAACGGTCAGAAATCCCTTCACGCAACTTCGGCCTATCCCACTCAGTCTGACCACTTATTGTCGGCAGCAGTATTTTTAACTAAACCCCATGCCCCAGCCTCATTCCCATCTTCATCCCTCGAGATGCTGGCCTCAGGGAAGACTCCCTCTTTAGAATACTCACGTCACAGAACAGCGTCATGTGAGCCGCTGCCTCTCATGTCGATGCCTCTGAATGCGAGTACAGACGGTGTCAACAGGGACAGGCCAAACGAGCAATCGAGTTTATTGTTGTCCAACCGGTCTGTATCATTTGGTGGGAACAATAAGAATATGCCTCTGGCTCAAGAAGAACATTCAACGCGAATACGAGAATCAGGCAAAGAAAACGGACTTATTGGCGGAGAGTCAGAGCTGACACCCAAATTGCCTGAATTCACACAAAGGCCACAGAAGGAGCATGATCTGCCACGAGTTT